CCTTTTTTTTTTTTTTTTTTGCTCGATTAAAATAAAAGTATGAATATAAATACAAGATTATCAATAGTACGGTACCAATATAATATACGTGTGATAACTGAAAGTTATACACTTTTTTCAAGTAGATAGATTTATTTCACTTTATATTAAAAAAATTATCTTTATTTTGTAAATGACACCATATTGTATATTTTTTTTTTTTATGAATATCGCTATTTATATTTTTGTTATATGTGTAAGGAAACTTTCAAATCGAACATAGTCAAAATATAATTAATTTAATATGTCATATTTGAAATACTCATAATAAATTATTGATTTATTTCGATTCATTGTTAAATAAGTATTCAGATTCTAAAATTCCAATAAATAAGTCTATAACCGATTTTCCAAGGTACCATAATTTGAATACATATGATTGTGAATTACCATAAATTGAAATTTATATGACTAGTTCCAAAGTATCATAATCCCCCATATATATATTAATTCAGAACGTGCTGAGCCTAAGTGGCAGGCTCGCATGCTTCGGGATCATATGTAACAAAATTATATATTCATCCAGAATGTGTTGAGCTTAAGTGGCAGACTCGCATGCTTCGGGATCATATGTGGCAAAATTACATGCTTCGTTATTAGGCTTGGATAAATTTTAATTTACTTCCAAACCAAAAATAATTAGGTTCAGATTATCCATAAATATGTTGATTATTTATGGTCATGTTACATGTATTAATTACATTTTAATATCATTTCTTATTATAACCATTAAATTGTAAATATATTTTAAAAGTTAATAATTTTTATATTTTTTATCAGTTTTACATATATAATATATCAAATTAATCATCTCTTGATGAGCTTCGATTTAACATCCATATTGTATGTATAAAAAAATTATATATCTTTATAACAATAATGAAATTATTTTTTAATATTTATTAGAAAAATAAAATTATTTATCACTTAATATATTTATATTTCAAGTAATTATATGATATAAGTTTTAAAATTACTAATAATATAACACATGTAAGTCGCACAAGTAACAAGTGTCATTCTAAAATATATAATAATATATATTTCTTGTAAAAAAGTAAATAAAAATTAAAATAATTTTTCTCATTAATTTTAAAATTTAAGAATAATTTTTTAACAAACACCCGTATAATACACAGATGTTGTACTAGTTTAAAATATAAAAGCAAGAACTACCAAGAGATTGTGAAGCAAATTTCAAAATCCGTGCAAACTATGCCCTTATAGGTAAAGAGATATACCAAAGAACGGTTTTGCTATGGAACCATCGGATGGCTCGGCTTATGGAGCCATCCATAGTTATCCACAAATGGTGTATTGACATATAAATGCACATTGGACACATGTCAATACATAAAGTTATGGATTGTTCCATAAGGGAGCCATCTGATGGCTCCATAGAAGTACTGTTTGAATATTTTGTTACGAATTGGACCATTTGTCCCGTTTAATTATATTGATACAAAAAATAAATACTATACATATACATACAATATGAGTACTATGTAAATGATAAATATATATATATATATATATAGTACAAAAACCAATTTCACAACATAATAATGAATAAAGTAAAGTCCAATATTACAATCAAATTCTCAAAATAAAAATTAAAAGGCTCAAGAAGAATATCAAAGTTATTAAGTCACACAAACAACATGCCTGCAATTTGGAACTTCATCCCTTTACTGTCAAAATCAAAATTTGAAGTGAGTATTTTTGGTTAAACCTCCTTAATGCATGTCTTCAAAATCATATTATCTTAAAACATAAAACTATCAATTTATTCACATAATATTTATGCAATGTTTACATCAAATTAACTTTAATTATTTTATTTTAAACTAAACTCAAAATTCCAATAATAACTAATTTTGCCCTATTTTTTAAAATTAATTATAATTTTTTTAAAAAAAAACTCGTTTTTAACCAAATATATTTGTACTCAATCACGCCTAGATGTCCACTTTAACTAGTATCTCATTTCGAATTGTTCCGAAACCATTTCATAAAAGTGGAATAAATACCAATACGTTACCCACCATTACTGAA